AGCTTACACACCATGTTGGCAATTTTTTAGATTAAAATCCTTTAGGTTGTGTCATGTACACATCTTTTTGTAAATTCCCATTAAGGAATGCCGTTTTGACATCCATTTGCCATATCTTATAGTCATGGAATGCGATAGTAGCAAGCAAAATCCTAATGGATTTTAACATGGCTATTGGTGAAAAAGTTTCATTAAAATCAACTCCTTGTTTTTAATTATAACCGTTTTGCAACTAGCCTAACTTTGTACATTTGTACATTGCCATTCATGTCGGTTTTCTTTTCGAAATTCCATTTGCACTTTATGGGTTTTATCTCTTTAAATGGTTCCACCAAAGTCCATACTTAGTTTGCATACATGGATTCGATTTCGAATTTTATGGCCTCATGCCATTTGTTAGAATCAATGTCCAACATTGCTTTTTGATAATTAGTAAGATCATTTTCTATGATCAACTCATCCTTATCCATGAGAAATCCATATCTCTGTCTTTAAAAACATTGAACTAATCGATCCATACAAGAAGGGGATTGATTGTTTTTCATGAAAATTGCATGAATCTGCTTTTTGGCCAAAAATCAATCGATCCCCTTGAAGAGGAGATCGATCCCTTCTATGCTACTTTGCCTAATTTTGTTTTTAAACCATGCCAGATGAACTGAACATATTTTTTACTAGATAAAAAGCTAAAAAAATATTCGAATTAAGTCAAAATCATTTTAATTCAATTTTAGCAATTTTTTGTTTTATCATTTCAAAATATTTTATCAATTTAAGGCTAACACTACTTATCACTTTAGGATTTCTTGTATTTTTGTTCTATAAATAGCTAGTTTAGGCATTAGGAAAAGCATGATTGGAGTGACAGATCAATCTTTAATTTATTAGCTTTCTTTTTACTTTCTTTTAAGTTTTTATTGTTCTTAAGCTTTTCTTTACTACAATTTAAGATTGTTTAAGTTTATTTTCAGTTTTTAAAGCAATTTAAGTTTCAATTTGCAAGTTTAAGTTTTTGTTCATGCTTCTTCAATTCAAATCAATTTAAGTTTATGTTGTTTCTCTTTAAGTTGATGTTTGCATGTTTCAATTAATTAATTTTACTTCAATTTACATGTTAATGCTTAGATATTGATTTAATTTACTGTTATCTAAGTTAGTTAAGATTAATTCAGTTAGACTACATGTTCTTAGGATTAAAAGAATTTGGTTAAGGTTTAATTGGGTTAATTTGTTTAAGTTTTATGTTGTTAGGATTAATTAAGATTCAATTAGGTTTCATTTAAGTTGGTAAGTTTAAATTCAGTAGTTCCTGCATATTAATTAGTTTTTTCAGTTCTGTTTTCAAAGTTTTAAGGTTAATTTAGTTAAGTAAAATTCATAGTAGTTACATGCTTTAGGGTTTAATTGAGTTCTATTGATTGTGATTTCAAGTTTTCTTTAGTTAATGTTTATGCATAATCAATTTCGTTAAGTTACGTGATCTTAAGTTTAATCAGTTTTATTTACAATCAGTTATACTTTAATTAGTTGTTGCTCATAATTGCATGCTATTTAGGTTGTTTAGATTAGTTTTAGTTTCAATTCAATTCAAAGCATATTCATTTCATATTTAAATTGTTGTTAATGTTGTTTTACGTAACTACATGTTTACGCAATTACATGTTCAGTTTATTCTTGCATGTTTAGGTTTGAATTACATATGGTTAATAACATTCTATTTAATTTGGTTCAGTAATCTTACATACTTTGAGTTTAATTTTAGGTTCTTGTATAATTTAAGTTTTGGTTTATCTTAATTTAAGTTGGTTGCATCTTAATTCATAAGTTACTTGTTATTTGCATTAGTTTAGATTTAAATTCATATTAATTCATTGTTATTGCATGTTTTCAAGTTTAATTACATTAATTAGATTTTGTTTTGATTAGTTGGCATAATAATTCATTCTTATTCTAATTTCTTCAAATATAAGTAAAGGTAAGACAATTTCAATACTTGAATCACTCTTTTACAATTTTTGTGGAAATTATTTTTATTTAGCAAAAATCAACAAAATTCCCAGATTTTAAACTAAAAAATGACCTATAAAAAAACTAATTTTTACAGTCATCACATTACATTTCGATCAATTTATAGTCTAAAACTTCTTTCCTTACAAATAAAACCTCTATAAATACAAAACTTTCAAAAAGATTGTTCCTATTTGTCAAAAAGATGAAGTGACAATAGATTTTGGTGGAAAATTTTATTTTAGAAAGAACTAGGATAACTAATATTGCCTAAGTAAAGATTTTGAATGACATATAGTTTCTTAATGATCTTAGTAGGAAATTTGGCTTGATGTTGTTTGTTTTGTAAAAATTGACTTTTAGAAAATAATTTCTACATTTTAAGAAAATTGTTGATTAACAAAAAATAACTTGATAATCAATGAAAATTTAAATCAAAAAATAGAAAATTATCTTTTACTTTAGAAAAAGAGAGCATAATTTTCATAAAAAATTTTACCATTAGTCGAGCAATCCTTCATGTTGTTAGAAAATCTAGACTTGTTTTTTCCTAAACTTGCTTTATCACGACCTTGTTGATTGTAAGCTTCCTTTTTGTATCTTTAATTGCAGTCTTTGCTTCAAATACCTCCCTTCCAAGCCTTAGTTGAACTTAAGATGAAACCTTTAAAGTATAAAGAAAATTGACTTCAAAGTGTGCTGTGAATGCAACTTTTTTAAAGACTTATTTCTTCCCTACTAGTTATGATATACAAAAGGGATATAACCGAAAAACCTCCAAAATACAATAAAGCCTTGTTTGATTTCACATTGCATTTATGCTATCAAACACTAAACTTCCATTGATGAAAATGAAAACATCTAACTTTGAACATTAATATCTACAAAAATTATGTCAAAGTAACTATACCTTATTTGTGAGAGAATGGGAGAATTAAAAGAATGTTTCAATATTGTTCAATCTATCGAACCTCTTTAACTATCTTAAATGACCACTCATAATCTTTATTTATAAAGATTAAATCTTAAGGTTGTGACTATTTGATTGTGTGTTTTCAATCAAAGATCACTTCATTTAATAAGAAAGATATCTTTTTGAATAATAAGACTCATTTGTACTATTAACCTTTTCATTCTTAAAAGAAATAATTTTTCATGCTTTTCTGGAATTTGTAACTTTTCACATAGGGCAGTCAACTACTTAAAGATGGCAGTTGACTACTCTTTGTATTTTTTGTTTCTAGAAAATCACAAGAAAAAAAACAGCCAACTCCTTTAGTAAGGCAGTCGATTCCATTACCAATCTAAAAAGGTTTCACATTTGGTTTCCTATAAAATAGTCAATTCCTCTTTAATGGCAATCAACTACTATAGCATATATCAGTTTTCCATAATATAGTTAATCAATAACAATCGATTCATTAAGGTTTCAAATTGATTCTTCTCACTTCTAGCTATAGCAATCGATTGCTTTATGCTATAAGTTGACTGTTATTTATATAGAATCTAAGTTTTAGCTTTTATTTGTTAAAGTAGTTGATTCCATACCCTCTTTGGATGCTGAAAGCAGTTGACTCTTTTGAGCAACAAAGTTGACTACTTTCATGTAAAACCTAATTAATATGATTCTTTCAAGTTCAAAATCAATCCTATTGATCATGGAACATTACCTTAAATTATTTTAATAACATAACATTATTTTTCTTTGATTAAGTTATTTACTTAATCATATTTTTATATTTTAAAAATATTTTCCAACATGGGCTGGTAACCTTAAGTTTAACTTAAGTTGGCTCTTGGGCATATTCTTTTATGGCTTAACCTAGCTCAAATCAACTTGAGATATTATTATGTAAGAAAAAAAGCTTTTTATTAAATTTTAATTGAAACTTATATTTAAAAAATTTTAAAAATATTCATATGAAATATTTTAATATTTTCATAATAAATATTACTTTTTTAATATTATTAACAATAAATAAAATTAATAGTTTAATAATAAATAGTGCTATATTACTATTTTAATAATAAACAATAAATAATACTTTTTAATAGTAAGTGTTATCTAATTTAACATTATTACAATTTAATAATAATTTTCTAATAATATAAATTTTTCATATTTTAATTATTTCTTAATATACTTAAAAATTAAAATATAATATTTGTATAATTTTAATGACAAATGTTAAAATTCATAATAAATATAAATAAGAATTTTTTATTTCATAACAAATATTTTCAATATATAAATATTTTTAATATATTAATAATAAATATTTCTATTTTGGTTTTTCTAGAACTATTATTTTAATAAATAGTATTATTTTAATACTTATCTAAATAATATTTTAATTTTAATTATTTTAGTAAATACTATTATTAAAATATAACTATTTTTAAAATATTGATATTAAAAGATTTATAATTATAATATTTTATTTTTAACATTTCAACAATAAATGCTTTCAATACTTTAATAAGATACATCACAAATCTTGACAAAAGGACCAAAAGTATGATGAATTAATCTAAATCAAAATATCTAAACCTAAATGACCAAAAAGATTAACTTGAAAAAATTCATACTAAAATTTATTTGTTTTAAAAATTAAAACCTATAAATTTAAAATTATCCGAAGCTAAATGATTTAAATTTAAAATGATAATGATCCTAATTCAAAATTATTTAAAATGATTTAATATGACGTGATTGGATCAAAGACAATCCTATCCCCACGGCCCATAACTTGAAAACTATAATTACATTTGTTTCACAAAAATCAGATTTTAGAAAATAATTATTTGAAAATGTTGATATTTTTTAGAAATGTTTATATTTTTTATTGTTTGGATGACACGATAAAAAATATTTCCTTTTCAAAAATTTTGTATTTTTTTAAGTAGCTATTATGTTATTAAATTCTTATTAAAATGTTGAAATATCAAAAATAAAATTATATTACTCACAAAATTGTAGAAAATTTCTCACGTTTAGATTATGTTTTGAATTTTATCTACATTTGTTTGTTTGCTCTAATGTTTTCTTTATCTTGAAGCCTCCAACTTTTTAAATGAATCTAAAACCTAGTACGAAAACAGTTACTACACATGTACTAGCAGCTCGGAAGGATAAGCCCCGACTTGCGAACAAGAGGAACAAGGAATTCATACACAATAAGGAGTATCTTAGATTTGGAGCGGCCTCTTCAGTGCATTTTGGGCTGGCGACATGTGAAGTAGAGGCAAGGAATTCGTACACAATAGGCAGTATTTTAGACTTGGAGCGGTCTCTCCAGTGCTTTTTGGGGCTGGAGAGGAGCCGGATGCTCCAACTAAATGAGGTATGGCAAAGAACAATTTGAATGATTGGACATGTTGGGTACAAATAGCAGGCAGAATACTGAATCAAACTCAACTAAAGCAGTTACATGCGCAGCTTATCCAAAACTCCCTCCACCACCGTAACCACTGGGTGGCACTGCTCATCAACAGCTGCGCGCGTCTGCGCGCCCCACTCTCCTACACCCGGATCATTTTTCATTCAACGCCTTCCCCCAATCTCTTTGCCTTGAATTCTATGGTTGAATACTACTTCAGTCTTCATGTTTGTAAAGAGAAGGAAGTGGAATTATTGACCTCTCTGTTTTCTCAATTGCTAGCAAGCAACAATAAGCCTGGTTCCCTTTATCCTATTCTGATCAAATCATCTGGAAAAGCTGGCATTTTGTTTCATGTCCATCTTCTGAAATTGGGTCATCATCAAGATCCTCATACGCGCAATGCCATTATGAATGCTTATTCCAAATTTGGCTCATTTGAGATGGCTAGGAAACTATTTGATGAAATACCTAAGAGAATGGTTGCGGATTGGAATTCCATGATTTCTGGATACTGGAACTGCGGTATGGAAGCTGAAGCATGCAGTCTCTTTAACTTGATGCCTGAAAATGAGAGGAATGTCGTTACTTGGACAGCGATGGTTACTGGCTATGCCAAGATAAAGGATTTGTTCACTGCGAGAAGCTATTTTGATCGGATGCCGCACAGAACTGTGGTTTCATGGAATGCAATGCTCTCTGGTTATGCTCAAAATGGCTTAGCGAAAGAGGCTTTACAATTGTTTCATCATATGATAAAAGCTGGGAATGGGACTGAACCAAATCAAATCACATGGGTCACTGTCATTTCTTCATGCTCATCGCTTGGCGATCCCTCCCTTGCGGACTCACTTGTCAAAATCCTGTACAAGAAGAAGGTTCAGCTGAATTCTTTTCTCAAAACAGCCTTGCTTGATATGCATGCAAAGTGTGGGAATCTTGAGACTGCTCAAAAATTTTTTGATAAGCTCAGCGTGCACAGGAGTTGCACTACATGGAATGCCATGATTTCAGCATACACGAGGTTTGGCAATTTGGCTTTAGCTAGAGAGCTCTTTGATAGAATGCCCGTAAGGAATATTGTCTCATGGAACACGATAATTGCTGGTTTTGCCCAAAATGGGCATCCTGAAATGGCAATTCGGCTCTTCGAAGAAATGATAGCTACTACTGACTTGAAACCAGACGAAATAACTATGGTTAGTGTTATCTCAGCATGTGGACACCTTGGGGATTTAGAAATGGGAAATTGGATTGTCAATTTCCTTGTTGATAACCAGATCAAGCTGAGCATTTCTGGTTACAACTCTTTGATTTTCATGTATTCAAAATGCGGGAGAATGGAAGATGCTGAAAGGATATTCCAGGAAATGAAAATAAGAGACATTGTTTCTTTCAATGTGCTGGTTTCAGGATTTGCCGCCCATGGCAATGGAATTGAAGCTGTGGAACTAATTTCTAGGATGAGAAAAGAAGGTATTGAGCCAGACCGTATTACTTATATCGGTGTCCTTACAGCATGCAGCCATGCAAGATTATTGAAAGAAGGTCGCAGGGTATTTGAATCAATAAAATGTCCAACTGTAGACCACTATGCTTGTATGATTGACTTGTTAGGTCGAGTGGGTGAACTAGATGAAGCAAAGAGATTGGTTGATCATATGCCAATGGAACCACATGCAGGAATTTATGGCTCTCTTCTTAATGCCAGCGTAATTCACAAAAGAATTGAACTTGGGGAGTTTGCAGCAAATAAGCTCTTTCAGCTTGAACCAACTAATTCAGGAAATTATGTTCTGCTGTCAAATATATATGCTTCAGCTGAGAGGTGGGATGATGTGGACCGAGTCAGAGAATCAATGAGAAAATTAGGAGTGAAGAAGACAACCCGTTGGACATGGGTGGAACATGATGGTAAAGTGCATAAGGTCATTCTGGGAGATAGATCATACGAGCGATGATTTGATATCTATAAGCTATTGGATGAACTGTGCAGGAAATGCGAAGGCTTACGATACATTGCTAATAAGAGTTACAGGCTAAGAGATGTTGAAGACGAAGAGAAGGAAGAGATGGTGGGCACTCAGAGCGAGAAATTGGCTGTTTGTTTGGCTCTTCTTGTAGTGAAATGGGGGCTGTTATTCGAGTGGTGAAGAATTTAAGAATTTGTCATCATTGCCATACTGCTATAAAAATTATCTCTATGTTGGGACGAATGGAGATACTAGTGCGGGATAGACGGGTTTCATCATCTCATTTACAGGTAATGGCTCTTGTAGAGATTATTGGTGAGGAAAGCAAACCTAACTTTTTATGATCACTAGAATTTGAGCCCGGCATAGCGGGTTGACCGTTTCTCATTTTTAATATTTTTATTTTTATTTTAACATAAAAATAATAAAAAAATAGTATACATTAAATATTATAAAAATTTTAAAGGTTTTTTTAAAAAATAAATCTAAATGTTATGATTATTGTTTTTTATTAACATTTCATGTCTTATTAGGAGCATTATGTTTTTGTTTTTAATTATTTGATCAATTGTATGATTTTTTCGAGTTATTGTATATTAATTTTTGTGAAAATGAAGCAAAATATGAACAGTTCAAAAATTATAAGTTTTAATGAAATAGTTTTGATTTTTATATATATTTTATATTTTTATTTATTATTATATTTTTTAAGATTTTAATATTTATTTCTGATAAATAATAGGTCAAATTTACCACAAGTTCATGTATTTTGCCATACTTTAAAATTTAGTGCCTTTACTATACTTCATATAAATTTAATCTTTATATTATTTTGATTTAATAATTTTAGTTTAAGAACTAATTCTATTTATTTTTTCCAACATGACATTTGATTTGTTTACGTGTTCATTGACTAAAATGACGTGGCATTTTGATTTATTTAGATTACAAGGGATGCTAACATGGATTAAAGAAATATCATGTGATATATTTTTTAATCACGTTAGTTTAAACCTTTTTTTTATTATTAACCAAAGAGACTTAATAATTCACTTCAAATTTTTTTAAAGTAATAAATGAAAAAAATTAAGCTAAAAAAAACACACACATTTGAAAGGAAAAAAAAATCGTAAATCTCTTAATCACAAAATTAAGCCACTAAATCCCCAATCTCCAAATCCTTTCTACTAATCCCAAACCCAAATAGAAAATCCGCATCCCTAAATCCCTTTAACTAAACATACCCAAATTCAACATGGTGCAACTGTGCATCTGCTTCAAAAGCGTAATAGATGCAGCGTATGCCATCCTCATGTTTCATTTATTACTTCAAAGAAATTAAAGCAAGTTATTAAGGTCTTTTTTGGGTGAAAAAAATTTAAGGTGACGTGGAATAAAAATAAATAAATCATATGATATTTCTGTAATCCACATCACATCTCTCATAATTTAACTCAATAAAAATGTCACATCATTTTAATGGATCTGTATATAGTTAAAATTTTTCATCAATAAATTTAATAAAAAAAACAAAATTAATAATTAAATTAAAATTATCAAATCAAAATAATATAAAACCTAGCTTTTTTAACTCGTACAATGGACGGGATTTTTTGTTAAATTTTTCATAATTTTAAAACTATTTTTTAATTATTTAATATATAATTATATATCTATAAATACTAAGTTACAATTAAATGATAATTTATATATAATATATTATAAATGATATTATTCATATAAAAGAAGTCTAAACTTTTGTAAATTTTCAAAAATTATAAAAATCTTTTTTTTCATAAAAAAATTTTTCTTCAATTTATTTGTTAAATATTAAAAATTTTGCTACCGCTTTTTTTCTTGTTTGATAAAAAATCAAAAATCAATACTTAAATAGTTATAATTAATAATTATTTTTACCATAATATTGATTAAGTGGTGTATATATATATGTGTGTATGTGTGTGTGTGATTAAACAACAAATCACAATTATTAATTTTGTTATAATATTTGCCTTTTATTAGTTTTTATTTTTGAAATACTTAAAGTATTATTACACAAATATATTAGACTAACAATTATTTCTATATATGTCAACAAAATAAAGTTATTTTTTAGATAAAAGAGAAATAATAATTCTTTATGTTATGCTTAAAAACTTTTTTTGAAATATTTTTTATTTTTAATTATTTTTAACAAAATTGATTATATTTTTTGTGAGTTAGATATGACAGTGATCATCATTCTTCTCATATCATCCATTATAGACAAAGAAATTCAATAATAAAAAGTATAGCAAAAGGAAATAAATAATATAAATTTACATATTAATTTGTCAATATTAAATATATATAATAATAAAAGCAAATATATTAATAAATGAATAGAGAATAAAAACATTGAAGAAATGAATAAAACAAAAAAATATATGATACAAAAAGTTAATTATAATCAATCTAAGCAAAATTAAAAAAAGTTATAGACTAAAGAGAAACAAATAAATTAACCAAATATATAATATAAAAATATTTGAATTAGAACATAAATAAAACATTATATTTGTTTCCAAAGCAAAAACATATTTTTATCTAATTTTTTTATCAACATTCAAATATCTCATATTTTCATATAAAGATGTAAGCTTTTATTACTTTAAAAATATATGCTTTCCAATAAATAATTCATTAACTTATCTAAAAGTATTAAATTTAAATATCTATTAAATAATTTTTAATTTTTTATAAATTTTTATTTGAATTTAAATAATTATCCAAAAATATTAAATTTAAATAATTTATTAAATAGAATTATTTGACAAAAATAAAATTTTATTAAGTATATATATTTGGAGCTACCATTAAATTTAAAAAGAAAAGATAAATTATGATTTAATATATTTGAATTCAAATCTTATGCAACAATTTCAATTTTAGATAGATATTTATTTCAATTTAAATAATTATCTAAAATATTAAATTTAAATAATTTATTAAAAAATTTTATTTGATAAATAAAATAATATAAATATTATCTTATGTGTCATTAAAAGATATTATCTACCTAAGCATCAACATAATCAATTTTGATCATGTAACCTTGTATGTTATAATATAATATAATATAATATAATATATTAGAATAAAACATTATATTTGTTTTCAAAGCAAAAACGTATTTTTATCTAACTTTTTTATCAACATTCAAATGTCTTATATTTTCATATAAAGATGTAAGCTTTTATTACTTTAAAAATACATACTTTCTAGTCAATAATTCATTAACTTATCTAAAAGTATTAAATTTAAATAATCTATTAAATAATTTTCAATTTTTGATAAATTTTTATTTAAATTTAAATAATTATCTAAAAATATTAAATTAAAATAATTTATTAAATAAAATTATTTGACAAAAAATAAAATTTTATTAAGTATATATATTTGAAATTGTCATTAAATTTAAAAAGAAAAGATAAATTATAATTTAATATATTTGAATTCAAATCTTATGCAAAAATTTCAATCTTAGATAGATATTGATTTTAATTTAAACAATTATCAAAATATCAATTTAAATAATTTATTAAAAAATTTTATTTGATAAATAAATAATATAAATATTATCCTATGTGTCATTAAAAGAGATTATCCACCTAGACATCCACATAAGCAATTTTGATCATGTAACCTTGTATGTTGTAATATAATATATATATATATATATATATATTAGATTGAATTGATATAAATTATAATAGAAGAGTTAAATTTCAAAATTTGACGGGGTACAAGTACTTTTAACATAATTTGATTTAAATAATAAATAAAAACTTTTATATTTTGATCTTTTTTTTTTAGTGCAATCAATTGGAGAGTTCAATTGAAAATTATCCTTAATTGATGACCAATTTAATTGTATATTATTATTATTATTATGATTACTAGAACGTAGACCCGTGCTATGTTAAAAGAGTCTACGTACATTCTTAGTATGTGAATCCCAATAAAGATAGTCAACTCCACAACTTTCTTTCAAGCTATTTGCCTTTAAATCATCTTCCCTAGAAAACTCGGTGTCCACAACCAAGCTAAGCCAAATTGGGATTCTTTTGGTAAGCCTTCTCGATCCTATCTTAAAACACGGCCCTTTGTATGGATTTTGGCTAATTCACGCTCTTTAGGCTCTAGAACTGCAGGTTCTTAAGGTACAGAATCAAGTCAAGTAGAAGATGTTGCACCAAAAATTGAATTTCTAGTCCCCTCGTCATCTTTGCAAAAAAAGTACCAAATAACTAAGGTGGATATCTTGTGTTTATTGTGTATCTAAATGAACTTTCAAAACAAATTAATATTTATGATGTATCAGTATCTTTTAGTACCTACTTACAGAAGAGTACTAACCTTCCATCATGGAATTCTGATTCTCAAAATGGTGAGTTCTTCCAGATAGATTCTTCTCGAAATTCGATTCCTTTTGCATCTCATGATCTTCCAAGTTCTTCGACGAAGAAACTGGTTGTGTTTCACTGCCTTCAACTACTTCACTTGGTTTTACATTAACTTCTGTAGACTCAGCTGGAGGATGCAATTCAATTTTTCCTTGTTTTATAAACATGGAAGGGCCAAAATAAGTTTTAAATTGATCACTTGATGAACAGATGAATGTTCAACTCAAATAAAAGGCCAAACAAATTCGAGTTTAACTTGAGCTTGCTAGAATAGAATTTACTAACCTTGCCCTTCCAATGTCTTGTTATCAAGAGTTTCTCCTACTACCATCGGCTCACCAAAAACCACTTTTGCCTTTTTGTTATCATAATAATTAATTTTCAATATTGTCATGCAAAATATCACACCAAAAACCAATTCTGCCTCTGTGTTATCACGTATGTACCTTCAATTAAACACTATCATGCAAAATATCAATCTTAAAGTGAATTTATTACAGACTACAAACACACATACCTCAGCCAATCAACTTCGATCTCATTCAGCTTATCATTAAGAATAGTGATGGTAACTCCAATGTTTCGCCAAACATTGTGCACAGGACCTTCTTCAAGAGAGTCCACCTTCGAAGAAAGAACTTAAAACACATGAAGCTAAGATGAATCCATAACTTCATTTTCTAAGATTTTGTAAGTCATAGTCACTGCTATCACTTCCAGCATGCCCAGCAATATAAGCACTAAGTTATCAACTGAAAAGACATTTAGAGTGTTCTTGACTCACAACCAGATTTAAAGCTATTAAAAACAAAAGAAATAAAAATAAAAATAAAACTCACAAATGATGAAATGTCCAAAACTCAATGTCATTTACCTGAATTTCATAACCAATCTCTCTTAATGCAGTTGCAATGGTCACCATTAGCAATTGTTGTGGGTCAACTAGTAAATCATCAAATACCTTAAAGTACAAATTTTGAAAGAAAAAAGCTATAAATAAGTAATAACAGCATTGAATGAACAAAAATAAAAGAATTTTTGCACCAACCAATGCAAGCTGAGGCTTTCTACATCGGAAACAATATTGACTCCTGTTGAAACCAGATGAAGAACCCAAATTCACTTGTTTCGTTTCTCTCTGAAATTTCTCTAAAAGCTTACATGGTTCCAATTTGATATCTTGACCAAAATCCAACCCACCCATCTCTTTTAAAAACTTCAATTCTCCAAATACAAAATCTTTATCATCCAAAAAGGATTACATGAGCTATCTACCTCTCCTAGTTTATTCTTGGGTTGGTGCAAATCCAATGGTGGAACTAGTTTCTTGTCATTGTTGCTATTTTGATCTGACGTTGATGTTGAATCGATGAAGATTGGTAGCCCTTTGAAACCTGCCATTACAACAATAAGAATCAATCAGTTTTCAAAAATAAAAGATACCCAATAAAACCCCAAGAATTGATCCATCATCCAGGCGATCAAACATATTGACATCCATCATCATTTTTCTCTTTGTAGATTCCCTAACCCCTTTCTTTCTCCCCTGTTTTTCTTCTTCCAAGTCCTACGTGTTGTTCCCCTTTCTTTTCTCCACATATCTCTATAAGCTTCTTCTCTCAAATAACACTAAATTACTCGGTGTCTTCCCAAAACATCCTTCACATCAGGTTTTTTTACATTGATGAGTTGTACAGCAAAATAGAGGCAGGGATTGTTTTTATTTATTATTAATATAAGCCTTAGCTTCACAATTCACACTTAAAGTAAAAATAAATAAGAATAGGCATCTGGGCCTTGGTTGAAAAGAAAACCATGGAGAAAACAGCAATTCATACTTTAAATTGCTTTCAATTCTTGAGGTATTTTTGAATATTCTTAACAGAGCTATCCTCATGTATTATGTTGTTCTTAATAACAGACTCAGTTAAGTTATGAAAAAAATGCTTGTTCACCACCACAAACTCCCTACTGGATATAGACAGAAAATAAGTTTTAAGAAATGGACAAGAAATAAATGCAAGGAGATGAATAAAAGGAAGCCAAGAATTATCACCTTAGAACTCTACGACTATAGATATTAGAAGTATATGGCTCAAAGCATTCATTATTTCCAAGAATATGGCTAGATGAAGCAGTACGCATAGGTGCTAACAAAAGTGAATTTCTCACTCCATTCTTAGCTATTGTATCCCTAAAAGCATTCCAAATCCACCGATCTGAAGGTGTAACACCCCACATGTTTGGCTGAAGAATACCCTACAATTTAACAAAAAATTCAGTGGTGTGATGTATTTCTGGAACATTCTCAACAAAACCATCTTCATGTATTATGTTATTCTTAATAACAAGATACCAAAGACCCATCTCAATTAAGTCATGAAAAAGATGCTTACTGACCACCACAAACTCCTTATTGGAGATAGATAGAAGATAAGTTCTAAGGAATGAACAACAAATAAATGAAAGGAGATGAGTAAAAGGAAGCCAGGAATTATCACCTCAGAACTCTATGACTATTGATATTGAAAGTATATGGCTCAAAGCATTCATTATTTCTAAGAATATGGCTAGTAGAAGCAACAAGCATAGGTGCTAACAAAAGTGAATTTGTCACTCCATTCTCAGCTATCATATCGCTAAGATCGTTCCAATTCCACTAATCTAAAGGTGTAACGCCCCACATGTTTGGCTGAAGAATACCCTGCAATTTAACAAAAAAACTCAGCAGTGAGCAAAATATATTAGTAAGAAATGAGCATTTAAGGCATTGCATTCACATTGAATAACTAAAATCCAAAATACTTGCATGCATTTCAAAAAATTATGAAAATCACCTACCTTACTCATAGGATTCCCATTATATGTCTCATAGGGGCCCTCTTTCTCATCTATATCAGAAAAAGTTATTAAAGCATAGGATTATGGTCTCAAATATGTCCTTATTCAGCGGTTAAGCCTGAAATTCAAAACCAGTAATCTATGAGACAAAACTAATTCAGGTTAAAAAGGTATGCCAAATCAATGTGTCTGTATTGAAATATACCTTAGACCAATTAAAGTCCATGCGAAGTAAGATGAATGTGTATGCAAGCCCTTAAACTCTAATGCCGATAGGTCTGATGCAAATTTGATCTTTTGACAGTTTCAATAGGATAGTAATTAACATCAATTATTTTGTCAAGATTTCTTGTAACAATTTCAGTAACCTGTTCCAACATCCCAAGAAATGGAAAACACAATCATTATTAGTGATATTAACAGAGACATCATATAGCAATATAAAGACATCCATTCCATCACAAAGATAAGCTAAATGGATGGGAATCCATCTTGCTATAGATGGATGAGTTAACTTGCATGGTAAAGAATCAAACCTCTACCAGGTTGTTGAAGTCAAAATATCTATTCTAAGAACTGAAATTCAAAACATAAATAAAATCACTTACAACTTTTCAAAGATGAACAGAGCAATCTCATCTGGGATTTGAACTTAGAGATGATTTCCTCTAAGATCAATGATTAAACAAGACATAAACTTTATCAATCTCAATTCATACATAACAACACATAAGTTTTGGCCCCATTTGTTTCAACAATTCTTTTAAAGCATAATATCAGGACAGTTTAAGAGCATATAGTTATTTTTTCTATCAAACTTATTATTTCTATCAAACTTCCTACTAAAATTATTTTTAACAAACGAAACAGAAGTAGGAGATAGAAAAAAATAGCTTATATTTCAAAAGAGAAAATGGACAAAAATATGCACAATGAGAAGGTCTTTAATATTTACTAATAAAGATTTGAGCCCACCAAGACAAATCACTATAGCACCATCTAATTATTTAAACAAATGTAAAAAGCTAATATTATTGAAAATGACTTTAAATCATCTAATTGTTTAAACAAATGTAAAAGAGCCACGCTTTAAGAATTGCCTTTCATTCATACATTGAAAAACGCTTCAATTAATTATCTCAATTTTGATGCAACACCATATTTTAGTTTTGCTACGAACACATATCATGAATGTATAGTGCAATGGAACCACTGACTAACAATTTATATAAATGAATTCTAAGTAACAGCTCCAATATACATAAACCAAATTTCCATTTTCATGTTGTAAGAGTTACATCCTATAGCTACTATAATTTCAATTATAATCATTGATTAAAGTTTATTGTTAAAAATACTTGGAGCATGTCATACAATATATTAAAATATTTTATCTTTATAAGAATCCTTCATAACTTAATAAAACAACAATAGCTAAAACCCCAATAAAAACCCAAAACTGAGCACCTGTATGGATGAGATGTCCAAATTATTATTAAATATTAATTTGTTTGAATTGAATTTCATTATGAACAGATAATTACCCATCTACCCCTTGTTGAAATTTCTTTTAGCAAATTCTTCAACCTGAGCCCAAATGAAAAGGATTAAATATATCAAATTGAACAATAAATAAATAAGTGAATAAAAGTTATTTATTGAAACATTATGCAGCAGTTTCATATCAATAACTAACAGTTCCATATTAAAGTTTGGCAAATCAATGAAACATTACCTTCAAAAATTTCTTCTTTCCAAAACTTAGTATGAAATTTCACCTAAGAAAAATTAAAAGCAAGTAAAATCTCACCCACAAAAACACATTTCAATAAACACAAACAACATATAGTAAAAGATAAACAAAAGTAGTCCAAGGATATAGTAGGTTTTGGAAGATACTGTAGATACTTTAACTCTGCCTTGTCATATTGAGAACTTGGGTTAGTAAATCTGTAGTATTGACAACTTATTTTATACTTTAAATTTTGACAGAACATTGCAATTCTTATTAGTATACGCTACTATCAATTATTTGGGACATCTAAGGATACAAGTCAAATCGAGTACTAATAATATATCTCAAGATACAGGTTTTCCTAATAGTTCACTTATGCCAGTAAAATTCAAATTTAATTAGTCAAGAAATCAAAAACTATGAAATAAAATAAGAAAATAAAAAAAAATTAAGTCCTACAACTAACAATAAAAAGAAAAAAAAAAAAACACTTACCCATTCATAAAGGGAGGAATGCATCATCAGAAAGAAAAGATTTAATCTTAACCTTAGCCTCTAAGGTGATAAGGGATTACTTTGAATGGGTATTCGGTTCTTTAGGAGGGCAAAAAGTGGCCAAGTTGTCGAAAACCTACAGTCATGGTTGGAACCTACAGCCATAATTGGTTCTCGAAAACGAAACAAAAGTTGAGCCCTTAAAATTTTAAATAATAAATAAATCAATTAAACAATTAAAAACCAAAATAAAAATTAAATAAATAAATAAATTGAAAAAATGAGAACGAAAAATTTATCTCGATTAAGATCAAAGATATAAATGATATATTAATATTTATAAATTATTTAAGTTTAATTTGAATAAAATTTGAATTAAATTTGATTATTATCAGATTAAGTTTGAGTTTAAATAATTTAATTTATTGATCGAATTAAGTTTATGTATTTTTATAATAATGAGTTACTTACGAATTTAATCAAATTTTTATTTTTAATATATTTTAATTATTTTAATTAATAAAATATTTCGAATTTGAGTTCGAACATAAATAATTAAATTTTTATTAAATATAAAAATTAAATTTATTTTTACATATTAATTGAACTTAATCAAATAAATTTAAATAATTTATTTTTTTATCTTAAATCAAATTTAAATAAAAAAATAAAATTTAATTAAATTTAAACTAAATTTTAAATAATAAATTTAAAATTAAATTTAAATTTAATATTATATTAACTTGAATTCAATCGATTAAAAAAAGAAGTAATAAAGATCCAAAAAGAAAGAAAGTTGCTATCAGCCAGTGGATCCACGGAAGACTCTAGAAGCCGCATATATTTGGTTCTTGAGAAAGGCAACAGGTGAAGCATCTCCGTGTATTTATGGAATCTTCTTGTTGTTCTTTATTTTAACTTAAAGCTAAACATAATAAATATCTCTTTTTCGCTCCCCATGCTTTCTCCCCTCCCCTCAATTACTTTTTTAATTATTTTTAAATATAATAATGATGTGTATAGTAAATTGAGAAATTGAGATAACTTTTATATAATGTTTAGATTATTGTTATTATTATTATTAATTCATTGGTGAATATTGATTATTGGTATTTTATATTTTATATTATTTTTTCATGAAAAATATTTATTTAAAAAAGTTAAAGGAAAAATTAAAGGAGATAAAATGAAAAAAAAATCAATTATTTTTTTCCCTTTCCGATTTTAACTTTTTTATGAGAAATATTTTTTTAAAATTAAAGAAAAAAATTTGTAAGAGCAAAAAAAAAAAAAACCACTGTTTTACTTTTCTTTTTCTTTTTTCTATTTTTATTTTTGTTTATTAAGAGAGTTAAAAAATTCTTCTAAAATTAAAAAATAAATAAAACTTTGTGGGTTACGAATTGAATGACAAATGTCATTCAATTTATCCTCATTATATTTTTTATTTTTAAGAAAAAAGCAAAAAATAAATATTTTTTTATTTAAAAAGTAAATGTTTTATCCTAAAAAAATTTTAAAAAAATTATGGGTGGATGCTAATTGAATGAGAAATGTCATTCAATTATTCTTCAATTAATCCCAAAATTGAAATGAGTAATCAAATTATAAAATACCACTAAATACCTAATAGTAAGTAAGTATATGTATAGATTCTATAATGTTAGCCAGTTTTATGTTGTAGGATTTAGACTTTGCAACCTGAAAGTGAAACTATATTAAATAAAATTAAAGACGCAAAATTAAAATGGGATTTCGCCCAGTTTATGGTATGGCTTATTTACTACAAACACTGACTTCTCTTAAAATTCTAAGAATTTTAATTTATACAATAAGCAGATTTAAAATTTTAACAAATTTTTAATTAATTTTTTTATATTTTCATTTTCTTTAATAATTTATAAATTATGAAAATTTTATTATTTCACATTATTTTTATTTTGTTCATTTTCTATTGAATTCATTTATTTTTAAATTATAATTAACAAAAAATATCTCTTTATTTTATTTATTTTTATCCAAAAATTTGTGATTTAGTTTAATAAAATTAACTATTAACCGATATTTTTAACTTCTCCTTCTAACATTTTTAGAACAATTTTACTCAAATAACACTTTTTTATAAAAGCTCCAGCTGAACGAAACAGGTTTCAAACAACTCTAAGATTAAATAAATACCCAAAACAATTAGCCGGTAATATTTCTTTGACAGGAAACAGACTCCAATCTAAACAATTTTTTTTTTTTTATACACAGAAACCACAAATTAAAAATAAAAAAATTATAAATATTAAAATTTGAATAACATATTTATAAGATACCATTTTTTAAAACTAATTCGATGACCAAAGCTAAACAAAAGATTTTGCCACTAAATTGGCAAAAGGAACAAGATACCATCAATAAATGCAACCACAAAAAGGTAATCAAATGAGTAGAAGATATTAAGCATACAGAGGAAACTAGAAAGATACACCAACATATAAAATAGGTCAAAATTATATAATAGATATTTGTATTTTAATTAAATGGTGTAATTAATTCTTCTATTTTAATGTATTCAATCTAAATCTCTATATTTTATTTAATTATTGAATTTAGTGAAATTGTTAATAATTCAAATTTTTTTTATTAAAATTAATATTATGATATTTTGATTTTTTTAACGTGATAATTTTTATTTACATGATCGTTAATTTTGTTGATGTATAAAATCTACGTAGTTAAATATAATAATGTAACAAAACTTTTTAGCACACCATTATTTTTTCATGTCAACTTTTTTTAAATTATATCGCTAGTCTCTTTATTTTGCTTAAATTGTGAAATTATTCTTTCTACCATAATGTATATTCAAATTTGATTCATATATATAAATTAATTATCAAATTTAAGATTTTACCTAAAATAACATTAAAAAAAAACCTAAATTCAGCCGTGACATTTTTTTATATTTAGATAAAAAAATTTTTGGATATTTAAATTATTAATTGAAATTAATTTAACAATTTGAATTAATCTCAAATTAGATTATAAGTCCAACATAAACTAAAAAATAGATTATTAACAAAAAAATAAAATAAAAATTTTTGGATATTTGATTATTATACCTTTTCTTTATCTTTTATTTATTTCATTTTTTGTTATTTTTTATTTTTTAGGAAATATAAAAAATAAATAGATAAAAAATAAAAAAAAACTTTTAAAATGATAGAAACTTAAAAATTAGATCAAGAAACTCATAATCAACAAGCCCATACACACAATCAATAATAAAAGTAATTGTAGACATTCTTTCCTTTTTTTTTTTTTAATTCTTTTGATATAAAATGGATTTCAAATTTTATCTCGGCATTAGGTTTTTAAATTGTTTTTGAATCAATTGGGTTTAATTGTGATATTAGATTTTATGCTCAAATTTAAAAGCTTAAAAGTATTTTATTTATTATTTATTATTATTATTTAGTTAGTGAAATCAAGAAGTGAAAGTAAAAAAAAATTGAAATTTGAAAACATAAAGAAAATATGAAAACTTTTGAAAATATTGATTTGAAAAAATTTTGAAAATTCAACAACAATTGATTTTTAGTACTAACAATTTTTGAAATTTTTAGATAAATTCTTTTATGATCGATGAATTTTTTATTATTAATTTCTAAAAATCTTATTGAAATATAATTTTATTAAATAAGACTTGTAAAGAAAAGTAAGAGAAAAACAAGGAAAAAAAAAGAAAAATTTAAAAAATAATTTTTTTATTTTTATAACAAGTTGAAACGATACCGTTTTAAAAAACAAGTATGATAAAACCCATGTTTTGATCCATACATTGACTTTATTTATAACTCAACCTATTTGCATTTAAAAATTTATCTATTATTGAAGTTTTTAATTTATTTTATATCAACTCTTAAATTTGATAATTAATTGATGTATAATATTTCAAATTAGAACATATATTAATATAGGACTAATTTCACCATTTATCTAAAATACAAAAATAAGCCATACAATTTGAAAAAAATTGACATAAAAAAATGATGAATATCCAAAAACTGTCATGTGATTCTTTTAATCACATGAATTTAACATTTATAAATTCAGGCCATTTAAAAAAAAAATGACATTAGAAAAGTCAAAATATTACATCATCAATTTTAATGAAAAATTTTAAACTGTTAATAATTTAACTAAATTTGATAATTAAATGATGCGTAAGGATCCAATTTGAATGCGTTAAAATAAATGGACTAATTCCACTGTTTAACTAAAATACAGATATCTATTGCACAATTTGACCTATAAAAAATAATAATATTTCTACTTACCAGTATCGGTTTGAAACACAATTCCGATAAAAATTAAAAAGATCAGGAGCCAAGAGTAGCCAAACTTAAAATCCCATCTGCAGTCATCCAAATTCATCAACTAAAAGGTGCAACTCTGTTTTAATTCCAAACTGTAAGGAAAAAGCTATAAACCTTGCGTGCTGCGTTTAAATTGCTTCAAGTCCGACTTCTGAACCTACTTTCAAACTCTAGCCCTCTTGCTACTGCAACTTGGGCACTTATACTGCTTGATATGCTCAGCCTTTGCAGGTGTAATCTTCACACATTTGCCATGGAACCATCTCTCGCAGATATCACAGCAAATCCAAAATTCATCAGTGCCATAGCTATCCCCACATGCCCCACAAGTGGCACCCTGTTCATCATCTTCCTCATCTTCTTCCCCACTCTCATCCTCGTCCTTAGGTGTTTGAGAGATCTTTACCATTTTACTTTGGGGTTCAGATTGACGAGACTGCAAACAGCAAGGATATGAATGTGACATTAAATAAGAGAAGCACGTATAAAAGGAATAAAAACACAAAAGAATCAAGTTTAACTTCATACCACCTTAGCACTTGATTTGCTTTTGCCACTGTTGTTGTGATTAGCAGATTGGTCCTTTGGTTGCTTAACATTTCCTGTCACAACTTCAAATATGGTTGGAAGATCGTTTATCATCTGGAAGAGTCTTTTCCTGCAAAATAAGAAAGAAAAAACATTTAGAATAGTATTAGCAATATCAAATTGACATTACACTGGATAAGGTAATTTAAGGGCCTATTGGTCGATATTATGGAAGCATCATTAAAGTAAAAGATACGAGGAACCCCCCCCCCCCCCCCCCAACACACACACAAAGAAAAGTGTCACAACTGTAGTCCCTAATGAGAGGGGACTATGCATGTGTTTATGGAGCAGGTAAATATGAATGTTTGAGCAACACCTGAGATTAGGGCAAAAGGTGTTTAATCTTTCTTTTCTTTTACTCAAGGAAAGAAAGTTGAGAGAACAGCATCCTTTGGTTCAATGATAGAAAACCGCCCAAAGAGAAAGAAGCAACAACTTTAGGGCTTAAATTAAGAGATGGCAGGTGACGTGGTATTGTTCTACATATTCCCAGCAAACAGGGCCGTTCCCTTTTCTCTCACAGCCGCCTCGTCCTTATGCTTACTCACTATTTTATTTTAGGTCAGATAGGCTTCCACACTGTCACCATCACACCGCTGCAACAATGGAACTAAAGGCTCATTTTGCTTCTTTCGCAAAATACAAACTCCATATCTTTGAGACAACCCAAATGTGTCAAATATTCCTTCCTAAAGCAAGTACTGTCTTATTAATCATTAATTTGCCTATGTAGCTTTCATTGAGCTATGGCTGCAGGACATCACACCTTCAAATAAAAAGGAAAAAAACACTATAGCAACAAATAGGGCTCTTGTTCCAGTCAGTGTAGACCAGAAAACAAGTAACCATAAGGTTGGTAGCTTAGCTATGTTTGAATATGCATATGACAAACTTCTCTTTGACAGGAAAAATTATAGTTAAATCACTATGTTTGAGTGTGTAAGCATTTAGAAGAACACTCCAGTCAATATTTCATTCAATGGCATGCAAGACTTTAGTTAACATTACATAATAACAGTTAAGTAGTAAAATGGAATAGAACATCTAATTTAGCTTTTTGGCATCCAGAACTCCCTCTCAAGTCCCAAACTGTGCTCTCAAACTTACTGAGATGTATTTCTACAAATTGAAAAAGGCACTCACTTCCTCAGGTGATTGAAAGCATAAACAGTTATGGCATGTCAGCAAAAAGTAATGAGTACCAAAATATCTCCCAATTCATCTATTACCAAATTTAAAGCAAAAAAGAATGCAAAATTAAAGAAAGAAATAAAGATTAAACAGACTTTCCACAATTTTGTACATTTAGTATCACTTCATCCTTCATAAACTTTGTGCTTTCAATGATTGACAAGTCAGATTGGTAAAAGAAATGCCTGTATGGTTGTTCAATTCTATCATTTTTTTTTTCTTATTAATCTTTAGCTATTCTTCTTGCCTCATTATGTGAGTTAGAAGAACCTTTTATTATGTTATATCATCAAGGTAATGCTCCATCAACCTGTGCAATACCGATTGCCCCCTCACTTCCGAGTACGAGTCCTAATCCTACTTCCGAGTCTTACTTCAGAGAATGACAGTTAAATGGTTTCTCATGCATTCTAGTCAGCTAAAAGAGACTTTCTTTAACGAGGAATCTCCTAAGAACAACTCCTCTAACTCTAAAACTAGCTCAACCGGTTAGCCATTCCAATCGTGTGCCATAATCCAATGGCACACTCTCTACACTGGAATGGAACGCATTTCGTGGCCAATACCCATTGTCCACTCATGCACCTTCTCTTCCTCGTTTGAGTTTGTAATAAACCCATTTTAACAGAACTAGGGTACTGGGCTTATATATTAGTAAACTCAAAGAGAATAATTCAGTTAGCATAAAATTCAAAATTAAACCATGATACTGCAGCAACTAAGCTGTGTAAACTGGGACTCAGTGTGCCATAGTAGACAAAGAAAAAGCACACATACCTCTCATTCTTGCCAAACCCAAATCGTGCACCAAAATAGAAGGCTACAGCAAGCAACCATGAATCACTGTGAACTGCAACCAATGATAGCCAGTCCTTCTCCTGCATTCCATCTCTAGCAAAGTTTATGCCCAGTGCAGGCTCTGGAAGCTCAGGAGGCACCTCCTCAACAGGCAAGTTAACTTCCCATGTTTCATTTGGAAGTCCATATAGGCATAAGTTCTCCTTCTCTGCAAATAAATAAAGTACATTCAGGAAACAAATGTAATACAGAATTTTCGAAGATATAAGCTTGCTGAAATTAATCACAACATGCAGCACGTTATCAAGTTTTTAAGTCGTTATGTATGCATTAGAATAGAAATATTCAATGATAGACTTAAAATTAAATAGTAATATGTAAAAGTAATCAGGTAGGAAAATAAATATAAAATTTAATCAAATAGCCATGAGAACCACATTTCAGCTGTGATTTGTCAAGTAGAATCAGACCCAAACTGCTCCTTGGAACTGAAATTTAAGAATGCAGAATTACATCTGAGATATCATGAGTATTATTATTATCAAGGAGAGTACGAAAAAGCAGCATGTTGAAGTCAAAAAGTAATTTTCATCTGTAAATGAAGAAAATGAACCATTCCATTTCCACTGAAAGTTCAGGTTAAGGTATATTCATTCAACAAAACTATTATATGACTACTACAAAAATTCAAGCAAATCTTAAGCCACCACAGAAGAAACCATAAAATGAAGACATGATAAGTACTTTTGAGAGTGACATTAAAGACCGCCAGCCCAACTACACCATAAAACAATGATAAAACTATATTCATTCATTCAACAAAACTATTATATGACTACTACAAAAATTCAAGCAAATCTTAAGCCACCACGGAAGAAACCATAAAATGAAGACATGATAAGTACTTTTGAGAGTGACATTAAAGACCGCCAGCCCAACTACACCATAAAACAATGATAAATGATCAAGAAATCACCAAAAAAAAATCAAGGAGCCAATTAGGTAAATGATCTGAGAGGACTTAAAACAAGAAAGGTGCTCACAGAATACAGGGCATGATGCGATTGATAGAACATATTGACAGAAACAACCATGACCCACTTATGGATTGATAAGGCCAAAAAGGAAATCAAAGTCTTATAGAAGTAAAGATAAAACGGAAATTTGCATACTCAAGCAGTAGACATTACAGAATTTATCTGATCAGGCAGCCATCACGCAAGAAAACAAGGTTAACAGCTTTAACTAAAATACATTTGACAGTGTGATTTTCATTAGCTTTCACTAAAGACTCAGCTGCCACCGCAGGATAGATAATGTGTTTTGTCTTTGGCATTCAGAAAATCATCATAGAAACATAATTTTGACTGAAAGAAAAAAATGTAAAAACCATATTCTACAAGAAAGAAAAAAGGAACAGACAGACAAACAGTTAACGCTGCTGCACCTTTAACTAATCAGAATGAAACATAGAAATTGAGCAAAAGTAACCCACCAGGATCACACTGTTGGTAGAACTTGTCCACATCTGCCGTAAAAACCCAAACCCATTAATTGAATTTGTTTGTAACTTTCAAAACACAAAATTATAAAACAAATCAAGGAAAGAAAGAAAGGCGAACGAACCAGTGCTGAGAGCCTTAATCAAGCCAGAGCGTCTGCCCTTGAAGTCGTTGAAGACCTCTTCTACCGTTCTAGGTATTGCGTGGGGTATCCCTTCCATTCGCTTTTCTCAATTTCTCTTTAAAATTTCTTCTCTCACTTACCCAAAATCCTTGATCTCCCACTATATACGTATATATATTGAAATAATAAATTCAATTAAGTCTATATGAAGAGTAGTACGTGGAGAAAACACACATATATATAAGTCCTTTGAAAAGAATTTGAGAGGAGCAAATCACAATTAAAGGAAAATCAGAATTAGGGTTTTCTTTGTTGCTGGGTTGGGATTTGGGATATTGGGGATTTAAGCAGAGGAGTCACGGATAACGGAAACTAAAAGCCAATTTTAGACTCAAAGAATGAGAGAGTTAAGCAGTGCCCTCGTTTGCCTTGCCTTGCCTTGCCTTGCCTTCTCTCTATCTCTCTTTTCTTTTTTTTTTTTGGATCAAAAAGTGTTTTACTTCCTATTCATTCAAGTTTTGAGTTGAATATTTTAAGCAGTTATATTATATTATATTATATTATACCAAGGCATTTTCTCAAATATCAACACTATATTATATTTATCTGCATACCTATTATTAAAACAATTTTTTACACCAAGTTTGATTACCGGAATGGGATAGAAAAGAATTAAATAGTTATTAAAATAAAAAGTGTAAATACTCATTTGTCACTTATATTCTACATTTTTTTAATCAATTTAGTATTTAAAACAAATTATCAGTTTAAGTACTCTAACTTTCATTATGTTATACATTTTGATATTTTGGATTAATCTCATCAGTCAACTCATTAACATAACATAACCACTCAATAAAATGCAAGCATGTATAAAAAAAAAGTTCAGTTAATACTACATAATTAATTGTTACATTAACACTAATAAAAAATTTTAAAGAATTAAAAAAAATTCTAAAAACTTTTTGAAAAATCTAGACTATTTTTAAAAATTATAAAAAAATAAAAAATATAAATATTTTTTAAAATAATAAGAATTTTTTAAAATTATTAAAAAAATCTCAAAATTTAATGAAAATACAAACAATTCTAAAAAATTCAAAAGAATTAAAATTTTAATAAAAATAAGAATTTCTTAAATTCTAAAAATTAAAAAAATAATAAAATTCTAGAAATTAAAAAATATAATTTTTTTTCAAAAATCTAATTTTTTTAAAAAAATTCTAATAAAAAATCTAAAAAATTTCATACAAAATTAAAATTAAAAAAATAATAAAAAACAATTTATTTCTTTTGATTTTTTAATAAACTTTTAAATTTTTTGTAATTTTTCTAAATGGTTCAGATTTTTTTGAATTTTTATTTAATTTTTCAAAAATTTTAAACTTTTTTAGAAATTTTTACACTTTCAGTTTTTAAAAAAATTTATATATTTTTTTAAATTTTCACGTTTTATCATGTTTTGTGAATTATTTAATTTAAAGAAATTTTTATTAATATTTTCATTTTTTATATTTTATATAATTTTTTAGAACTTTTTTTTTCAATTTTCTTGGATTTTGTATCAAAATTTTACATTTTTTATTGTTAAAATATTTTAGCATTTTTTATAAATTTAAGATTTTTATTATGTTTTCAATTTTTTTAATTTTTCATAAATTTTTTAATTTTTATAATTGCTTTTTAAATGCTTTAGATTTTTCAAAAATTTTAATCATTTTAGGATTTTTTTAAATTTTAAATATTTTAATATTTTTTAAAAAAATTTAATTTTTTTTATTTTTCAGATTTTTTATTTGTTTTAATTTTTTTAATTTTAAAAAATTTTTATAAGATTTTAAGAAATTCTTTTCTAATCCTTGATTTTTTTTAATTTTTTATGAATCTTATTAAATTCTAAGATTTTTTTTTGAAATTTTCATAATTTTTTATAGATTTTAAAAATATTTCATTTTTTAAATTTTTTTAAAAATTTATGGTTTTTTTAGGAAAATTTTAGAATTAATTTTTATGTTTTAGAGTTTTTTTTTTTAATTTTTCTTGTAATATTGACGTTACTATTAACGATGTGACATTAATAATTTTTTTTAATACATGTCAAAATTTTATTGGATGTAATACCACGTTATTAAGTTGATTAACGATATTGTCTAAGATATCAAAGTAAATGATAAAATAAAAGTTAAATCAAACTAATAATTTTATTTTTTTAAGTAGAAAATAACAAAATATATATAATAAAAAACCATTTGTTTATTTGTCCCAAAATAAAATAGTGAACGAATAATTCACTGTTAGAAATGACTAAAACATTAATAGAAAAAAATATTTATCATATTTTTTGTTATTAATTTTGCCAAACATCAACAGATGATTATCACATTATAGTTTAATATGTAAAATAAAATAAATAAGAAAAGTTTTGATACGATGTTCGGTTAATAAACTTATAATTAAAGTATATGTAAGGAATAAGAATAGAAAATTGCAATTACTCTTTTTAATAAATTAGACTCTCACAATCTCATAAATAATATTTAGCTTGATTTACTTTACAGTCAAAAATTTTCAACTTTAATTATTGATATTTTGAATATTTCACTAAATTAAAATTTTATGAAAATGTATTTGAAAGCCTCGCCAAGGTGTTTGGAAAAATATTTTATATCTTAATTAGTCATATATTTAAAATAAAATGAAATTAAAGATGAAATATTTTGATCAATAAAAATCAAGTTATGACAATATTTATAAGACGTAAGAAGTAATTATTATTTATCTTTTATTTCATTTACTTTTTAGTAAAACATTGTTTTTCTTCTCTCCACTAGTTTCCAATGGCGAAAATTGACCACGGTTTCCCACAACAGAACAGAACTTGACCTTATAATGCAAGCAGCTTAAACTTCGTTTGGATATAATCGTACCCACGATGAAATGCAATTGCATCCTAAAAGTTAACAAAAAGCTATCGGAGTTTTGTTTGGTTCTGATCCGTGAGTTTCTTTCCGTTTAGCCATGGACTATTTTTGGTCCAATGACTAAATTCCCCTCCCCATCTCTTTTTCTTTTCTATTTTACCTTTTAATTTATATTATAAAGATAATAATATCTTTACGAGAAACTTTTCAATTTTATATTTTTTTCATTTTTTATTTTTAATTTAAAAATAATGAAATAATTTTATTAATTTAATATAATAAATAAATTTTAATTTTATAAAATTAAATAATTTAAATTTTTATTAAATATAATTTTTAATCTAATATTTTTAATATTCATTTTCTCTTTTATGTACAATTTATCCCACTATTATCGTTGTTTTTGTATTTAAACATATATCTTACCATTAATTTAATCTCATGATCATAGTAACAAATTTCATTACTATAATAATTAATCTCACCTTTATCATTATTTTCAATCTAATTATCTATCCAAATGAACCCTTAAATTGATCATGGGAATTCCAGTTAAAGGTTGTCAACAGTAAGATTTTTTTGCCAACAATTACATCTCACTATCTACGTTATTTGGCCAAATATGGCCACCTTCTAACCAATACAATTAGATCTAGTTGTTGGCAATCTAGGTCAATGATATTTCGCAAACAATCACATCTAACATGGAAAAAGAAAACTACAAGTTGTCGTGTTTGGACACTAATGAAAGATATTATTATAATACTAATATCTGAAAACTCGATCACTAGACACAAAAAAAAAGTCATCATTAATTTTTTTGGTTACATACAATTAGTAACCTAATTGAATCTATCATTCCTAAAGAAATCTTAACCTTGACTAAGACACCTTTAAAAAAAAAATTTTTTATCTACATTTCAAAACTAAGTTTTGAGTCAGTTATGTGTGAAAAAGTATTAGTACCCTACAATACTCATCCCAAAATAGTATCAATTAATCTTATATTATTCTAAATTCGCTTTCATTAAAATAGTCTTTTTCACTTAATTTCTTTTATTTCACCACTTTTGTTTCTTTAATTTATTATTTAAATATAAAAATTTTTTAAACTCTTTTTTGAAGCTTTCAATAAAGTTAAATTCTTTATTATTTAAATTCAAAATATTAGTAATGAAAGGTAAATCATCACAATATTAGTGACAAAATTATTGTCACCAATGATTGTAAGATAATGTCTATTGTGACAATAAAATCAAACATTACCTTATGCTTTAATTTTTGTGACATTAGTTTTGGTTAGCTATTTATGAACAAAAATGTCATTAAAGGCTATAATCGTCACAAAATAAATGATAAAATCATATATATTAGTGATGAAAGATAAACCGTCACAATATTAGTGACACAATTATTGTCATGATAATTATAAGATAATGTCAAACATGACAATAAAATCAAATGTCACCTTATGCTTTTTTTTTTTTTGTGACGTTAGTTTTCGTTAGCTATTTATAAAAAGAACATCATTGAATGTTATAATCATCACAAAATAAACGATAAAATCATATACATTAATGATGAAAAGTAAATCATCACAGTATTAGTAACACAATTATCGTCACAAATGATTGTAAGATAACATGTAAGATAACATTAAACATGACAATAAAATCAAATGCAACATTATGCTTTATTTTTTTGTGACATTAGTTTTCATTAGCTATTTATGACAAAATATCATTAAAGGCTATAATCGTCACAAAATAAATGATAAATTTGATATATTAGTGACTAAAGATAAATCGTCACAGTATCGGTGACATAATTAACATCATTAAATTCTATATATAAAACATTTTTGTGGAATAATCCAATGTAGTGTTCTTGTAAATCTACAAAATATTTAAAGTGGTTTAAAAATGTAGTATATTCTTTAAAGTCTATGTTAAAATAATATAGAAATAATACTGTTTAAAAAATAAAGAGTTGAAACTATGAAATAAGCAGTCATCAAAATCTTGTCTTTAAGCTCTCAATCCAAATCTTGTGTCGAGGGTGATTGTGTTGATGGTGAGTTTGTGTCACGTGAAGCTGCAATAAATAAATAATATCCAATATCAAAACAAACCACAATACACACAATAAGATCAAAACAAATATAAAAAATAAACTAATATATTTTATGCATATGCAATTTTTAAATGAGGTCGTACCCTATATTAAAGAATAGTTTTGTTAAGAAATTGACAAGTAAACTTCTCGATCTGCAATGTTGATACTAATCATAAGAAATAGGCAATAGATGGGTGGTTCATGTTTAAACAAGTAATCACCATTACCTCAAGCCTATTTTTAAATCAATTCGGATAAATCATGGGAAAATTACAATTACACCTGTTTTCAAGGACCCTATGTCATTATCATGCTTTGGTATATCTTGCATCATATGAAAGACATTTTATCATCCAAATCAAAATAGAAAGGTAGCAGTTGTAATAATAACTTAAACTAAGATATAAACATGCAAACAAATAAAGTAGAAACATATAGACACAATATAAGCAACCACATCAAATCAAGAATCACAAGAATCAGGCAAGGGCTTTTTGATAAAGAATTTAA